TTATTGGAATAAAAATTTTAATTATTTATAGAAAGAAAGTATTATATAAAATGTCACTCATTGCATAAACTTTTTAAAATCTTAAATATTCTAAATAAACTGTTCTTTCAAAAACTGTAAATGACAATTTTTAACATGATGGTACTAAACACTCTAGCCAGTATATACATGTATATATTCTAATTATTTATCATAAAGAAAACTTAGGCGCTACCCCCCTTAACAACGACGATTACCAGGTGATCCTCCTTGAGTCCTTCTTCACTGAGACTTGGGCAAGTTCTTTTCAATAGTTCTGTAGAGAATGTACAAGGTGGAAACGCATAAAGAACTCCAGTTCCTTCTGTATCTTTGTTAAGCAGTGAAATGACACCAGCTGCTTCTTTTTGCTTTAAATATGATACTAAATTGCGCAATGGCCTAGTCTGCACATTAGCATCATCTGTAGAAATAACTGTACTTGAACCAGCCAATCCTAAGAAAATGGCATGTGAACTAGAAGTTTGGATTCTTTTTGACACATCATCTAATTTTGGTTGATCTAAACGCAATCTTTGTGTAATTCTCAACATATGTTTTCCATCTTCATCTTTCATCAAGGCTTCAATTATTTCTGTGTCACCATCAGTTAAATGGAACTTAGCTGGAAATAGAGAATTCTTTAAGATTAATGCTCCTTGCCAAACTGCTATTGATTTCCTTGCAACTTCAGGTAGTGTTCTAGAAGTGGAAAGCATTCCACTACGAGTATTTTCTGAATCTGAATCAGAATCAATTTGTCTTCTGCGTGGAGATCTTGATCTTGATCTATCTACACCAGGTTCCCTTGATAAAGATCGACGTAAACTTCTTGGTGTTTCATATTCTAACTCTGGAGGTGGTCTACGGCTAGACCAATCAGCTTCATCTCTCATATAACTTTCTGGGTAAGTTCCACGATAACCTCCTCTTCCTCCACCTCTCCTTTCATGCCATGGGGCAGATCCTCTACCTCTAAATCCTCTTGGTCCATAGCCAAAATCACTATCTGGTCCATAGGGATCATAAGAAGGTTCATAATCTACTGGTCTTGGTCGAAACTCTCCACTTTCTTCTGGATAAGGTCTTGGTTTAAATCCAAATCCAGGAGTTACATCTGCAAAATCTACTCTCAGTCTTCTATCTGGACCACCCAAGGGAAACCCTCTCATTTCTTTTACAGCAGCTTGAGCTGCATCTATTGAATCATATAAAATATAAGCATTGCTATCTCCTTTTATGTAATCAATTTTTTTTATTGCTCCAAATCGATCAAATTCTCTTTCTAGCTGTGGTACAGATGTCCAAGGTCCTAAACCACCAACCCAAATTCTTGTGGTAGGTGTAGCTTTCCCATAACCAATTTTACATTGGAATTTTCCTATGTATTGTCCAGAAAGTTCAACCTTACATCTATGTGCCATATCTAAAGTCTGGAATCTGACGAAAGCATAGGCATTTCCTGTTCCTGGTGGAGGCCTTTTGATATCAATGTCATCGACAATTCCATATTTACTGAAAATCCTTCTTAATTCTTCTTCTGTAATATTGATTTCCAAGTTTCCTGCAAAGAGAGTTCTTGTTGCCAGTGGATCATCTTCTGGAGAAACATGATGTAAATAATTAGGAAATTTATCTTTTTTATTCTCTACACGCTCAAATCCATGAACTGGATGTCGTATCATCATGTGCCTTGGAGGACCATAATGATGAGGTGGACCAGGGTGAACATGAGGTGGACCATGATGAATTGGTGGTCTAACAAATTCATGATGAGGAGGTGGAATTGCTTCACGTCTCATTTCTCTATGTGGTGGAGGCAATCCAACTGGAGGTCCATAAACTCTTTCATATCTTTCTAGAGGCCTATGTCTATCTGTTGGACCAGGACTTCTAGCATAATATCTTTCATAATCAGGGGGTGTAATTGATCTTGGACGACGATAAGTGTCAGGTCTTTCATAAACTGGTTCAACAAGTGCTACTTTGTCATACATAATAATTCTTGGTTTTGCATGTTTTGCATCTCTGGCATCTTCGGAACTTCTAAAGCAAACATAAGCAACACGTTCGTCTAATTCATGAGAAATTCTAATAGAAAAATCTCCAAATTTTTTATATTCTCTATAGAGAGTATCTTTAATCACTTCATCACTTGCTTTTGGGTGAATTGAACTGATACAAAGAACTTTGTAGCTATATGGACGTTCTGGAGGTAATTCTCTGGGTGCTCTTAAATAATCATCCCTATGAGAACTTGATTCTACATAACGAGCATGAGAAGAGGCACGCGTTGGAGGACTAGGACTTCTTGCACCCCTACTGCGACGACGAATCCTTTCAGGAGTTATTCGTTCATCACTGGAATCATCATATCTGTAAATCAATGAAACAAATTTTTAGTAACATTAAAATATTTTATGACATTATGAGAGAATATATTTCGACAGTTAGCAGTACTTATTACTTTTTTCAAATCTCCTAAATAATAATATAAAATGTATTTAATTGTTCTAGCCAAAAGATATAAAATGAAAAAGGTTATACTTTATTCAAATCTATTTTAACAAAAACTCTTACCGCCCCATAGATGATCTGCTTCGTTTGACGCGAGGAGGCGGAGTATCGCGACTAGAGCTCCTTTTCATATTGTTGCGGATTTTAACCGTGATCTTATGTCGATCGTCACGCGGAATTCCAATCATCAACGCTGTTTAATACGGCAGAGCCGAACGAATGGTGGAGAAAAAAACAAAAGAACAATAATCACACGAAGGCTATTTAGCTTGAATCAAGCCGTCATTCACAGTCCGTATCCCTCTCGGCGAACACAAAATGGCGACTTTCTTCTTTCTTTACTTGACTTCCGGAATTCCCTTGCAAGCTAAAAGAAATTCCATAAAAGTCAAGTTAAATGCCTTTGTTCTGCATTTCCCAAAATTCGGTAATCCTTTTCACTTCGGTTTATTCTTTATAAATTATTTTTGTTTTGGTTTCTCTATGTGTATGTGGTATTACTACTTGCATTTGCAACTATTGATTCGCAAATTGATATGTCGTATGTTCCCGTCAACGAAACAAGAAGACCCGTTCAATGATATTTATTGAAGATTCAACTACGCGTTTTTCTTACTAGAGGGCGTTTAACTATTTTACGAAAGAGTACGAGTGGAAATTTTATTGGTTCTTTTAAATATGTAATAATCTTATTTCAATTAAAAAAAAAAATTTATATTATTAAAATATTGAAGTTTTTTTTTTTTATTTATATTTAAACTCAATATTTAAATTTTTCTTTTCTAGTTGTATCTATTATCTTATTCAATTGGCACTTTACCTTCATGCATCTTCATAATCGATGGTTTTCTACAAAATCGTAGCTGTCATTTTATGTTATTTAATTGTTATGAATAAAGTTTACTTAGATTATAGTTATTTTAGCGATATTATTATTTACTTGTTTGATAAATGAATGCAATAAATAGTTGTCAAATATTTGATTCAATTACACTGCAAATTATATATACAACTGGATAAGTTTTATGCAAAATTATTTTTAAATTATTCACTTTTTTTTAACCTTTTATTACTAATTGGTATGTAATCAGTACTACTATCAGTAGTCAGCAAACATGTAGGGTATATTTCTTTATTATCCTTAGAGATTATTATATTAAGATATTTCACAAAATTTACAAGTACACAAATTGAAGATTTCAAATTTAAACTTAAACTTTGGATTAAAATTTATTAAGTAACTAAATGTAATTACAGAAAATACTTTCTTAGATTAATTAAAGTAAGTTGCAAAAAGTTGTTCAATATCTGATCCTATTAAATATATTCAAATCATAAATGTCATTTACATGCAATTGGCATGATTTAATGTCAGAAAATTTAATTATTATGAAATGTTTTTGATTTAATATGATTATAAAGAGTAAAATATTTAGAATATATAAAGAATCAGGTAAAACTATGCAACCTAATTCAACAAACATTTGTTGCATAATTGACATTTTGTAGAGTATTCAAATAAATTTATTCATTGTCAAAGGAAATTCTACAAGGAGTACATATACTTAGTTTTCATGTTTGTTTAGATACGTAAAAATGATCTTGCATTACTGTCTGGGATATTCTCATATTTTTTGTCAGTTCTGAATAGATTTTAAATGGATCTGATACATGTGTTAATGTGATTTACAATTGACAATTACATTCATTACAACCAAAACGTTAAGCACACAAAAATATATAAAATAAAATTAATTTTCCACTTTATATAAAAATTGTGAAAATTAAGAACTAGACCCAGAACACATTCTTTTATATATTTATTATATATCGAAATATTTAATGTTTATTTTTAGCTTCTTCCATAAATTTTTTTGCTTTTCTTTCAAATTCCAACTTGTTAAATTTATATTCTTGTGCAATGTCTGCCATTAAAGGGTCATCAGGGTTTGGATTTCCTAATAAACATTGTACAGCATCCAAAAGATTTTTCAAGCCAATAGTTGGTTTCCAGCTACCTTTAGGTGGCATATTTAAAAGATCCATACAAATACGACCTTTATTATCTATATTTGGATGATAAATAGGTGTTTGAAAAGTAATTCTTGGAGGTTCAAATGGATATTGTTTAGGAATGTCTATTGATAGCTGAAAAATGCATCCACTATATGGACTTCCTTTTGGTCCAATGATTGTTGCAAGAAAATTTTCCAAATCATCAGATTTTGAATAACAAGAAATGCCATCTACAGGAGTTTTGTTAAGCTGTTCAATTTCACGTCTTAATCTAGAAGACCTTTGCATTTTGAAACCTTTAAT